TGTTAATAACAATAAACGACCAGAACACTGTTAAAATCGCGTTTAATCGCGGAATACCACTATATTTTTGACGGGTGGCGCCACCCGTGGCAAATCGGTGAAACTAGTAGCCAAAATATACCGACAAGTAAGTGAAAATTTCTGCATTTGGAAAAACGCGAATATCTCAGTAATTAGGCGTTCAAAACAAACGTGGTACCTCCCAAATTATTCCTGACGACCCAATGCATCGACTCAATACCGCAAACCCCCATAATTATAATAATTATGCATGCCTCTGTTACCACATGTTCTTATGGAGTGATGTACATAGTAGTAAGCATTACTGCACGCATGTCGACCGCGTTTACATGATTAAACGAACTCCAGTGTTCTTCCTAGAGCACTGGATTTGAAGCTTAAGGAACGTAGATTCATACCGTTTACTGATTGATAAACATTAATAACACGAACAGTGTTAAATTTGCAATTGATTGCAATGATTGTCAGTAGGTACCACCACGCCTATCTCGTTTAGTTCAGTTTGGACATCTTTTACACCGTTATGCGAAGAGCTTCCGTCTTGCCCAAACATTCGATTTGAAGCTCGAAGAACGTAGATTAATCCCCTTTGCTGATTGATAAACATTAATAACACGAACAGTGTTAAAATAGCATTTGTTTGAGATGGTTGCCAATGGGTACCGCCACGCTTATCCCATTTAGTTCGGTTTAGACACCTCTTACACCGTTATGCGAAAAGCTACCGTCTTGCCCAAACATTAGATTTGAAGCTTAGGGAACGTATATTAATCCCCGCATATTGTTAATAACAATAAACGACCAGAACACAGTTAAAATCGCATTTAATCGCGGAATACCACTATTTTTTTGACCGGTGGCGCCGCCCGTGGCAAATCGGTGAAACTGGTAGCCAAATTATACCGACAGGTGAGTGAAAATATCTGGCGATGGAAAAATGCTAATATCTCAGTAATCAGGAGCTCAAAATAAACGTCGTTAGTCTTAAATTGTTCGAGACGATTCAATACATAGCCCCAATACTGCAGAACCCCAGGATTAGTCACATTATTTATGCATATGTTAATGAAGACCCGTATGGAATGGTAACCCCAATCGCAGCAGGTTACAATCGCATTCATACCGTTAAACGAGCATAAGTTTTCATTGTCACGCATTAAATTCAAAGATCAAAGAAAGTAGATTAATATCCTGTAGCGACTGGGAACCAGTAATAATAAGAACCTCCTTAAAATCACAATTATCTGCAACGGTTCACACTGTGTCTCGTCATGCGCACCTACTATAGTTCACTTTGAATACCTCCTACAGTATTATGCAAACAGATTTCGGCTTGATCAAGCATTTGATATGAAGCATAAAGAACGTAGATTAATCCCCTGTCATTGAAAATAACAATAAACGACCAGAACCCTGTTAAAATAGCATTTAATCACGGAATACCACTATTTTTTTGACTGGTGGCGCCATCCGTGGCGAATCGCTGAAACTGTTAGTCAATTATATGGCTAGTAGTTTCAGCGATTCACCACGGGTGGCGCCACCGGTCGAAAAAATAGTGGTATTCCGCGATTAAATGCGATTTTAACAATGTTCTGGTCGCTTATTGTTATTATCAATAACAGTGGATTAATCTACGTACTTTTAGCTACAAACTGAGTGCTTCAGCTAAACGAAAGTTGTCCGTATAACGGTGTAAGAGCTGTGCAAAGTGAACAAACCGGGGTACGCATGACAAGATACAGTGTCAACCGTTGCAAATAAAGTGCGATTTTAACAGTGTTCTGATCGTTTATTGTTATTGCCACTGACAGGAGATTAGTCTACGTTCTTTCAGTTACAAGTCCAGTGCTTGGTCAAGACGAATGCTGTCAGCATAACGTTGGAAGAGATGTCTAAAGTAAACTAATCGGGGTACGCATGACTAGATACAGTGTCAACCGTTGCAAATGAATGTGATTTTAACAATGTTCTTGTAATTACTGGTTCCCAGCCGTCAGAGAGTATTATTCTACGTTCTTTAAACTTCGAATTGAATGCCTGACGAAGAAACATGATGCCCGTTCTCACAAGTACTAGTTTCTGACATCGTTAATGAAAATACAAATTCCAAAATCTTCTCGCGCCACTCGTCTAGGGCAGTTCTGTCCTGAACTTACGAACAAAACGTAATTAAAATCATGTGAATAAAATAATTCATATTTCATATTTCTCATAAATACTAAGACGGAGTTGTTGTTTAATAATTTATGATAAAATACAAATTATTCATTTATAAAGCTTCATTACAAGAACCACTAAATAATTTTCTATAACATTCAAAGTACTAGACATTTTTAGAACACTGAATCTCATACCGATTTCTAAAATAATCCTAGTTCGATGTAATATAGAACGTGGTTTTATGA